TAGACTTGCAGAAAACTCAGTTGGTATGAAATTGAACCAATACGTTGAAAAAAATCAAAATAACCAGGTTCGAAGTTTGTGATTTGTATCTCAACCGAGATGGGTCAAACAATGTCGGCTTTCGACGAAAAATCCATAGTCGAGAAGGCCCTAAAGGTGAACTCACAGTCAAAAAATAAGTCGAGTCGGTCGAAACATTGTCGAGCACAAAGTTGCAAACTAAAGTTGAACGCAAAGTCGAGTTAATCGAAAATTAAAATCGATTTCATATTTATGTGTTGAAAATTCCGATAAAGTTTTCGAACGCTTTCGTGAAAAACATTGAGCAAAACTTTCGGCTCAACGAAAACCTTCCATTTCAGAACACTAGGCTTACTTAAAGTCACTTCAGGTGATTTGTGAGTGCAAACCGTAAATTTCAAAAGGCTCAGCTGAAAAATTAAAGTTTTAAGGGCTCTTGCGGTAGTTAATAGTGGTTTGCAAGAAAATTTTTTATTGTTCTTAGTTCATTAAACATTTTTGTCGCAAAATTCAAACAAAACTCACATTTTTTTGCGCAATTTTATTTTAAAAATTATTTTTTCGTAGCGTGATGACTCATTTGGCCAACAATACTTTTTGGTCAAACTCGGTCACACTGTTTTTTCTTGGTCAAACACGGTCAATTTGAGTCAGGAAGTTCGAAACAAACCAAATTTGGTCGAGTCAGTTGAAATATAAATGGCAAATTACGACCCAGGAACTAAAATTAAAAAAGTAAAGCAAAATGTTTAAAAAGATCTTTTTAGATATCCATTTATCTATTTATTTATGAAAGTCAAACTGCCCTTCACTTAGCAATAGTGATTAATACAATTTTCGATCATGATCATTATTGAAACCATTTATATACTGTCAAATATGGAATTTTGTTTTACTATATTTAAATACTTGCTTCGAATCACAGAATTTTTCTAATAGGTGCTTCAAGCTTGACAAACTGGATATGTTTTCGGCCATGCAACAATTACAATATACAAAACGTTCCTGAATTGCGTTGGTGTTGCATTGGTGCCATTTTTTGAATTCCGTAAGCATAAGAAATATTCAATAGATCCATAAATGCTACAGAAAAGTATTTTTTTTTAGTGAAATAACTCCGAAATATTATTTTTTCTTGTTTTGGCATGAACATTTTGTATCGTACTAGAAGAAAGAAAAGTATGTTTGAAATCGCTCCCAAAAATTTTTTGTTTTTTTTGAGCGCAAACTGATTTTTATACTCAAACAAACATTTTTTGCAAAAAATTTACTTGCAAACTTAGTTTTTTGTGTATAACGTAGTCCTGGGTACACGAGTATTGGATTTTTCCTTTTCGTTTAGTATTTTTTTCAAAAACGCTCAAAACACCTCTTTTTTGTATGGAAGTTTATGTATGCCTTGATCAATGTCTGGTAATTTAGGAATTTAATCATCTTGAAAACTTTTGCCAAAATTCAAAAGTTTGATACTTTCGTTATATTATATGTGTGAGACAGAATGAAGAAAATCCAGTCCGCTTCCAATCCATTTTCAATGCGAGACAGTCAAACCTTTGGCCACTTTACGTTTGATTTATTTATGAAAGTCAAACTGCCCTTCACTTATCAATTGTGATTAATACTTTTTTCGATCATGATCATTGTTGAAACCATTCGTCAACCATCAAAAGTTGAATTTTGTTTTCTTTTATTCAAATACTTGCTTCAAATCACAGAATCACAGAACTTTTCCTAATCGGTGCTTCAAGCTTGACAGACTGAAAGTGTTTTCGGTTCTGCAACAATAACAATTTACAAAAAGTTTCTGAAAAGCGTTGCAGTTGCATCGGTGCCATTTTTGAATTCCGTAAGCATAAGAAATATTCAATAGAGCAATAAATGCTACAGAAAAGTATTATTTTTTAGTGAAATAACTCCGAAATATTATTTTCCGACATATCTGAAATAATAAACTGAAAGAGTTTAATTTTAAGAATAAAGCTTCTGGAAAGTATGGTTTAGACCATGTAACGCAACAATATACCCAAAATTTTTCAACAATTTCTAGCTTTGGCATATAGTTCTCGGACTTACGCATTATTCCAGACAATTGCAATTAAATTTCAGATAAACGCAATATATTTTCAGATTATGGCGATCATAAGAGCAGTCGTGGTCAAGTGGGTTAGGCACATCTCTCTTAACACGAGGGTTATGCGTTCGAATCCCGCTTCGGTCACGGCTGGAGGGGTCCCAGTGTCATCCGCCTCCTCAAGGTGGGACCGGCTGCGGCAAAATGGATGACATCTCCCCCTCCCCCACGGTTGGTCCTGCACTGAGCAGGCCGGGGGCAAATAAAAAAAAAAAAAAAAAAAATCATAAGGCGACATATCCACCAATTTTGTCCATGACTGTCCATGACATGCGGAAAGTCCACCGGTGCAACTTCTTAAGACTGGACATAGGTCGCATACCCGCGTTGTGATACTCAATTTGTATCGAAAATTTGTATCTCATTAAAAACATCTTTACGAGGCCAAACTGTGCACTGGATAGGCGCACATTTTGGTGTTTGTATGTCTCTGGAAATCAGAGACAAGTCTTTAACCACGTTAAAATTTTGTCGGAACGATTAAAGAAAACAAAACAAAAAAAGAAGAACAAAGGTAGCTTGCTTGTTGCGGAATCTGCTGGCAACTCCCTAAATACACAAAACCAAAAAAATTGCTGGACAAAACCAGGTATTTTTGGAGCTTCTCGAGCAAACTCGGGTATGTTGCCCCCAAAATGTTTTTTTTTGTGTTTTTTTTCAACCGCAAATTGATTTTTATTCTCAAACAAACGTATCTGTGTACAACGGTATGTGTGTGTCTAGTAATTTTAAAAAAAAATTTTTTGAATAATCATCTATGAAAATTTTTGCCAAAATTCAAAAGTTTGATATCCTCGTTATATTGTTTGTGTGAGACAGAATTAAGACATTTCAGGCCATTTCCAAGGCACTTTTAATGCGAGACGGTCAAACTTTTGGTTACTCTACGTTTGAGTAACCAAGGTTTTTGTCACTTTCGTTCGGTTACGAACACAACCAAAAAATTTTGAGAAAGTAAAATGTAGAAAATCGAATTTTTTGGTGTATGGAAAACTGCTAGTTATACAGTTTCCATATACGAAAAATCACTAATCAGAGACCTTTCATGCAATTTTCTGTACTAATGGAATTGCATGAAAAATGTATAACTAGAATTTTTCCATATATGAAAATTGTCTGACTAGTTTTTTGGGTCAACCCGGGCTCCATAAATCCAAAATGGTTATCTTACATTTCCATACATCAAATGTAATGAAAAAAGCTTATTTTACAATTTTCATACAATTTCAAAAAAATAATTGAAAAAAGAAATTCGAACAAGTTTCTAGGGCTATTTGAACCAAAGTCTGGTGATAAGAACAACTAGGTTTCTTTTTTTCTTGGAAAAAAATGGTTATCATACAATTTCCATATATAAAAATTGTATGACTAGCATTTTTTTGATGGCGGCAACAAAAATTTTTCCAAGTATTTTAATTTTTTGTCTGCAACTTTTACACAACTCAGGTCGTTTCCAATGCATTGTAAATGCCAGACGATCAACCCTTTGGTGACTCTAGTTTTGATTAAACCATGGTTTAGTCACTTGTGTTCGGTCACGAACACATCCCAAAAATTTCGAGAATTAAAATTTTTTTAAAAATAAACTTTTTGGTTTATGAAAAAATGCTCGTGCTACAATTTCCATTATGGAAAAATGCTTATTTTAGAGTATTCTTAACTTTTTCTTTATCTATGGAATTGTACGAAATTGAATGATAAGCATTTTTTAATATATGAAAATTGTTTGATAATCCTTTTTGGTCAACCCGGGTCGACCCAAACCCCTGGGTCGAGTAATTTGTTTCGGTGAAGCACTGAAGTTGTACTCGACTTGAAAAGTCAATACGTAAAAAAATGTTAAAAAAACACATATCAAAAATAACCAGATGCTTTGCAATTTGCACAGAATGCTCCAATAATGTGATTTTTTATGCCAAAAACTAAGAATAAAAAAAACTGTCATTTTTTTTCATTTTTTGTTTTTTTTAGGTTGGTTGATGAGCGATAGTAACCAGAAATAAAAAGCTAGAAAAAACATAAACGCCAGAAAAAATGGAGGAAATTTTAGTTTAAAAGTTCCGCAGTCTGAAAAAAAAGTAGCCTGAAAAATGAAATTTTCAGCCTAGTTTTTCTCCTCACTGAGAGAATTTTTTGGAGTTTTTTAGAAACTGAATCAAGACCGATGAATGTTTAATATGATACCACACATGATCTTCTCTTAAGCTAATCTAAAAAGTAGAAAAAAACTTCGCCAGTGTTTCGGAGCAAAAAGAAATTTTAGAAATCAACAGACTTTGACTGTGGTCAGAAGCACATAGCACGAAGTGATTTTTTTGAAAGAAAAGAATTAAAAATAAAACGAAGGTGTCAACTCTAATTACAACTTTAGCAAATTGATTTAGATAAACCAGAGCAAGTTAAGGCAATACAACCCCGGTTTGAAAAAGAAGAGGAAATCCTTTATAGATCGATGCAATACTCAATTTAGCTTCAGTGCTGAAACCAGGGGCGGATCTAATTTTTTCTCGAGGGGGCGGGGGCGGATTTTTTTTATTTTGGTCGACCAAATGCTTTCCGAGCTCCCCTCAAATATACTATTATTTGGCGCCCAAGGCGCCTTGATTTTAATGACCGTCGGCCATACATGGAGATCTCAAAATAGCACAAAGGGGGGACCCTTTGGGTCGATAGGGGGTCAAATCCCTGAAAAAAAGAAGGCATTAATACCCCCCCCCTGGGTAAATCCGCTGGTGACTAAAACATTGATCAATAAGAGTTTTTCATCAATGCATCAACTTAATATCAGAAACAAATTTGCTTTTCTTTTTTAGAAAATATCCAGTTATATAAAATTACATACTACTTGCGATTGCTGATAAATATTCCACGCAAACGCCAAACGTCACAGCAAATGGTCTTAGAGCTAAATTGCCACCTGCCAGAATCCTATACAGAGAGGACATTTTACCGTTAGAGCAGCGGAGAAACATTGATTTCCTCTGCGATTTCAAGCCGAGGCCGAGCTTGTTTTAACTAAGATTTGATTAATTTTTATTTTTGTCATTCGTCTTGTAATTTTTAGGATTAATGATCGCTGACAGTTATGATCATGCAGGCACAATTTGTTCCTGAGTTTGTGCTTTGCAGCAGATTTTAGCAGACGACATGAATAGCAGAATGGGCAGGAATGAGATCACGAGGAATGGGAGTACAGCTAATACTAATACTCCCACCACAATGAAACACGGGAGCAGAACCAACTTCTTCGCGGCTAAAACAAAAAAAATTGAACCTAAAAAATTAATTAAAAAATGCATGCAATTCTTAACCATCAGGGACAAAACGGTGGTTCTCCGTTGGAAAAGAGAAGCTCGTATGTGGGTACTTCAACATGTGAAAGAATAATAGTCTTATTCTATCTAAATTTTAGAAAAAAAAACTGAACCATTTTGTCAAATTCAGAAGTTTTGTCAGATATAACCAATTATAGCTGAAAATGCTAAATCTAGACCTAAGAAACAATTTAAAACGGAACATCCCTATGTCAGAAGACCTTGGATGTACACACTACATCGTGGCAAAAACTCAACAAAAAGGAAATTTAAGGATTCAAAAGCTGTCTAAAAAAATTCAATGTATTTTTTTTATTTCATTATAATTATTTTATTATCAATTAGTTAATCATCATGCCAAAATTTGGAGCAAAACTTTTTGGAGCTCTCCTAAATTGACTTTTTCTCAAATGCTCTATCACCAGAGAGTTTCAAATTTGGCGAAAAAATATACTCTGTGGGCAAATTGATTAAAAGTTGAGCCAAAAAAGCGTCTTTTGGAAAAATTATTTAGACTTGGGTGGCCAAAAAGTGATGGAAAATCGTCCCTTAGGATTATGGTGTCAAAAAAGCAGTGAGTTTTTGTCAATAAGAGACCAAAAATGTGGTCTTACAGAAGCCCGTAGATTCTGACTATGATTCTGACTATGATTCTGACTATGATTCTGACTATGATTCTAGCCGTGAATCTGGCAATGATTCTAGTAGCAGACAATAGTCAATTCGAAAAAGCATGTGCAGTTATTTGTCATTAAGAAAAAAAATGTGTGCTCTTACAATAGACCATGATTCTGACCGCGTTCCTTTTGACCCTTGACTCCGGATACAATAAAGTGGGACATCCGACAATGCTGTACTTGTCGTAGTGATCCCCCACCAGCATCCGGTAGACCACACCCCCTTTGAAGGCCCTGCCACACTTGTAGCAGAAATCAGTCTTGCACCTCGTGCACTTCATATGCGTGCAACCGCCATCACGCTGAATATTGATCTGCAAAAAAATTATACACGCTTTTGCCTAATAAATAATAATCATCGTTGTTGTTTCAGTAACAATCATGATTTCAAAAAAAAAAGAAAAAAATTGAACAGTGTTTTTTTCCTTCCAGATACATATTAGCCAAAACGTAATTAAAAGCGTTTTTATTTCCAAATAGATCAAATTATCACCCTTTCTCCGAATTTTTGGTTCCGTAACTCCGAATAAGCAAATTTACCTGAAGTCATTTAATCGGTCGACCACCCAAAATTTACCCCTTTGCTAATCAATTTGTCGACCTATGAGAGGATGATACCTTTGTCGAAGCCTTCCTCCTGAACTACATCTTACTCGGATCTAGAAAAATCCTAGATCCACACTCTGACCTTAATTTACCAAATTTTGATTTGGTTGATTTTCTTTTGTGTTTTTTATCCTGAGCATATGCTTTCAAAATGCCTGAGTTTGCTTTAAAACTGCTAATTAGGTTTCAAAAATGGACGTCGTGACATTAGCTCAGGGGTGGCATTTGAAGAGGGATAAAAACTGTTGCAGCTACCTGGCATTTAGGACATTTCTGGGCATTAGGGTTCCAGTCAGTGTCCAGAGTTGCTCGCCACTCACTGAAAGTGTTGTCTGGTCTCTGATATTCTTTACAATTTTTGCCCTTATGAGACGGAGAGTGGCAGTAAAAGCACCAATTTAGCCCACACTGGCTGCATATAACATCCAGTGAGGCCTCGGAAGATTGGGGTTTGGTTTTGTTTGGAGTCACTTTTTCCAGGAAGTCGCAGCGGGGACACAGTTTCTCGTTCTTCTTCAGGTTTGCAATCAGAAGAAGACGAGCAAGCACTTTTTTCGTTTTGTCGTCAAGACAATCGAGGAGGTCCTGTAATTAAAATTTGCAATGTTACTCAAAAAATGTAAAACTGGAATAACTTTTATTGATTTTTTTTAGCTTTCTTCATCAATTATACCACAACTTTTTGTATTTTAGACCAAAATTTCTGGTCTCATAAAATAAAAGACGAAAAAAAGTCTTTGGTCTCATAAAATAAAAGTTAGTTAGTTTCTTTGGTTCAAAATGTTTGATTGTTCATAGTTTGAACAACTCGTTTAATTTTATAGTTATATATGTATTTATCAGATACTCATTTTGAATAAATTGAAGATAGTAGTCACGAGATAACTAAACTCAATAAGTGGAAAGATCCAATAAATCAAATTGATATATTTTTAGCGCTTTTTACCAGACCAGCAATTTACCAGATAGCTTAAATTAGGGCCTTTTATCATATTAAACATGCATTGAACACCCATGGGTTTTAATCGATTACAAAGGATTTCCGCGACAAAAACAAACAATTATAATTAATTACACATAAGAAATTCAGACCATCGATCCATAACAATTGATAAAAACCCATTTTTTAGAAATAAAACTGATTGTTTTGCGGCAAGTTTGTTGTCTTAAATGGGGAGCTTAATTGGGGGGAAGGGAATGTATCTCATGATGTTAAAACAAAAAAATATTCCATTCTCAGTAGAGTAGTCTAGTTCAGCGACAAACATCACTCATTTTCTCGCAAGTTAGACAAAAACGGAATAACAAAGATAAAATAATCAAGTCTCATCTTGAAATTGAAGAGGTTACACCGAACAGTAAAATAAAAATTTTACTGTAAAAGAAAAAATCAATACATATGTAGTGTAGAGGTTTTATTATGAATCTAAAACATGTTTATTACTTTTATTATAATTGTGTAACGTCGTATGACTCTCAAGGGCAACATTATAGTGACCGTACATTAAAACAAAACTTAGCAGAAAAAATCAATACAGATGTTGTGTAGAGGTTATACTATGAATCTAAAACATGTTTATTACTTTTATTATAATTGTGTAACGTCGTATGGCTCTCAAGGGCAACATTATAGTGACCGTACATTAAAACAAAACTTAGCAGAAAAAATCAATACAGATGTAGTGTAGAGGTTATATTATGAATCTAAAACATGTATATTACTTTTATTATAATTGTGTAACGTCGTATGGCTCTCAAGGGCAACATTATAGTGACCGTACATTAAAACAAAACTTAGCAGAAAAAATCAATACAGATGTAGTGTAGAGGTTATATTATGAATCTAAAACATGTTTATTACTTTTATTATAATTGTGTAACGTCGTATGGCTCTCAAGGGCAACATTATAGTGACCGTACATTAAAACAAAACTTAGCAGAAAAAATCAATACAGATGTTGTGTAGAGGTTATATTATGAATCTAAAACATGTTTATTACTTTTATTATAATTGTGTAACGTCGTATGGCTCTCAAGGGCAACATTATAATGACCGTACATTAAAACAAAACTTAGCAGAAAAAATCAATACAGATGTAGTGTAGAGGTTATATTATGAATCTAAAACATGTTTATTACTTTTATCATAATTGTGTAACGTCGTATGGCTCTCAAGGGCAACATTATAGTGACCGTACATTAAAACAAAACTTAGCAGAAAAAATCAATACAGATGTAGTGTAGAGGTTATATTATGAATCTAAAACATGTTTATTACTTTTATTATAATTGTGTAACGTCGTATGGCTCTCAAGGGCAACATTATAGTGACCGTACATTAAAACAAAACTTAGCAGAAAAAATCAATACAGATGTTGTGTAGAGGTTATATTATGATTCTAAAACATGTTTATTACTTTTATTATAATTGTGTAACGTCGTATGGCTCTCAAGGGCAACATTATAATGACCGTACATTAAAACAAAACTTAGCAGAAAAAATCAATACAGATGTAGTGTAGAGGTTATATTATGAATCTAAAACATGTTTATTACTTTTATCATAATTGTGTAACGTCGTATGGCTCTCAAGGGCAACATTATAGTGACCGTACATTAAAACAAAACTTAGCAGAAAAAATCAATACAGATGTTGTGTAGAGGTTATATTATGAATCTAAAACATGTTTAATACTTTTATTATAATTGTGTAACGTCGTATGGCTCTTAAGGGCAACAATATAGTGACCGTACATTAAAACAAAACTTAGCAGAAAAAATCAATACAGATGTAGTGTAGAGGTTATATTATGAATCTAAAACATGTTTATTACTTTTATTATAATTGTGTAACGTCGTATGGCTCTCAAGGGCAACATTATAGTGACCGTACATTAAAACAAAACTTAGCAGAAAAAATCAATTCAGATGTAGTGTAGAGGTTATATTATGAATCTAAAACATGTTTATTACTTTTATTATAATTGTGTAACGTCGTATGGCTCTCAAGGGCAAAATTATAGTGACCGTACATTAAAACAAAACTTAGCAGAAAAAATCAATTCAGATGTTGTGTAGAGGTTATATTATGAATCTAAAACATGTTTATTACTTTTATTATAATTGTGTAACGTCGTATGGCTCTCAAGGGCAACATTATAGTGACCGTACATTAAAACAAAACTTAGCAGAAAGAATCAATACAGATGTAGTGTAGAGGTTATATTATGAATCTAAAACATGTTTATTACTTTTATTATAATTGTGTAACGTCGTATGGCTCTCAAGGGCAACATTATAGTGACCGTACATTAAAACAAAACTTAGCAGAAAAAATCAATACAGATGTTGTGTAGAGGTTATATTATGAATCTAAAACATGTTTAATACTTTTATTATAATTGTGTAACGTCGTATGGCTCTCAAGGGCAACATTATAGTGACCGTACATTAAAACAAAACTTAGCAGAAAAAATCAATACAGATGTAGTGTAGAGGTTATATTATGAATCTAAAACATGTTTATTACTTTTATTATAATTGTGTAACGTCGTATGGCTCTCAAGGGCAACATTATAGTGACCGTACATTAAAACAAAACTTAGCAGAAAAAATCAATACAGATGTTGTGTAGAGGTTATATTATGAATCTAAAACATGTTTATTACTTTTATTATAATTGTGTAACGTCGTATGGCTCTCAAGGGCAACATTATAGTGACCGTACATTAAAACAAAACTTAGCAGAAAAAATCAATACAGATGTAGTGTAGAGGTTATATTATGAATCTAAAACATGTTTAAAACTTTTATTATAAAATTTGTGTAACGTCGTATGGCTCTCAAGGGCAACATTATAGTGACCGTAAATTTAACGTACAGCCAGTAGCTAGCGTGATTGTAGTGTGTTAAAATTGATTCTCTTTTTTTTTAATGCAGGCGAAAATATTAAGAAGTAGTGCAATGGCACATTTCTACAAGGCACAGTCAAATACGGATTCAGTCTATCGCGGCCCAGAAGATTTTTGGCATGGACCATCCTTGGAACCCCTGTTCTATGAGAGGATTGCATCCAGAGATTTCATTTAACTGTTATCGCAAAGAAGATATCGAGTAAGAAGACCTTCTCAATGACAATCTTTTCTCATAAAACGTTTACCCTACTTTGCACAGAGAAGCAAGCGGCACGAACAGAACAGGAGACAGGGAACAAAGAAACCCTTAATTCTTTCATTGGATGGCTACTCATAGTGAAAGACTACTCTGTTATGACTAATCTCGGGCCTTACTTTAGCCATTACGTATCAAAGCTACTTACGTATAAAGGAATCTTCTTCAAATAAGATGGTCGTTTCTGCACAGTTAAGGGCGCTAATCTTGTATTCGATGAAGGAATCTAATCAAGAAAAACAATTGGATTTATTTCTTAGAACCTTTGTCCCAAACCCAGTGAGCGAGTAAGTCTGTGTGGATCGCTTCTCTAATTTTCCGACGGTTCAAATAACTTGACGTACAACCGCAGCAGCAAAAAAAAAGAAATCGTAGAAAACTGAACTAAATTAAATGCGATTTCCAGTGTGAGAAGAGCGAACCAGGGGTCAGGTTTTGTGGCAAAAGCAATAAGCGAAATCTGTAAAAAAAAAACAGTATTTTAGTTAGTATTTTTAGTATTTAGTTATTATTTTATTAGCAGGTAATCACTGAGCCACAGGTCTGGTGTAACGGTGCATTAAAACGTTTCAACCAAAAACTAATGATATGTTCAATCCAAAAGCGAAAACCAGCGTTTAAATTGATAGTAATTGAAACTATGTACAATATAGTAACTACAATTCAGTCGATGGGAGATACACGGTTCGAAGCGCATTTCGATAGAAAAACGAATACTGTTTGGCACATGAAAACTCGCAACGCATCATTGGCAAACTTTTGATGGCAGCATGTTTTCTTTGCGATAAATCGGAACAAGAAAATGTTTTCTGTACAAGTTATGCAAGATTACGGACGATCAGATGAGAAATTCACCATGGGCGTGTTCGATAGGGCGAAACACTCCTTGGCTCCGAGTGCTTCAACCCAACGAACCTTGACGAATAAGAACAGCAACTTGACGCTAAATGGAGCACTAGTGTTGGATTGTCACAGAACAGATTATATAACTTTTCGGAAAACCAAGGATGGAATAAAATCGAATTCGTACTTTGAAGAGCTCAGAGACAAAGTTGTTCGGGAAACTGACCGTATATTTACTTTGGTTTCAGAAAAAATTATTCGAAACTTTGACATCTCGATAAATATAGGCACTCAGTCCAAGTCGCGAACAACCAGGTTAGCAATCAAGATCAGCCTGAAATTTCTGAGCCGTGATGCAAGGAAAACATCAGAGCTGACAGCATCGTCCGAATTACAGCCGCGAAGATCGGATCAAAACTACAGCAGATCGTCAGCAACCAACGACGGTTCGGACAATCACATTAGTTTCGACAGCTCGTCGGATGGTCACACCACAGACAGTTAAAACAGTGCCTCACTCGAGTTCCGAAGACGGTAGTGTCTCACGTAAGGAGGCAGCTCCCGAAGTCAGG